GCTTTATGAGTTGTATAATTACCTGAGCAGTGTTTCAAAGGCATTTGAAACAACAAAAAGACAAAGGAATACTTTAGTGTGTGAAACAGCAACATGAATTGTCAACTTTATTAACCCCAGAATAATTTTTATCTTGTCTTTATTTTAGCCTTCAAGCTGAGAAGCATTATACTCTTTTGAAGCCTCCTATCATGTAAAAGAGATACATTTTTCTCACCTAATTTTTCCTTAAATGGCATACATGCTTTTCTTCCATAACTGTCTCCAGTTAGCTGGGAGGTTTTTTCCACTGGGGATTAGAATGAGATAAACTCTTTCTTTACTTTCCCTTGGCCAGAAGACCTCTCTCCCTACAAGATTTCTCAGGCCCCTTTCTTTGAGCTTTGCTGGCCCTTCAATTTCCCTTTATCCAGGTTATTAAATGGAGAAATCACTTAATTCACATAAGTCACCATTATCACTAGAAAACACATCCTGGTACCTGCTAATTCTGGGCATCAGAGTAGGCTCCTCAGGGTCAATAAACAGGTCTCTCTACCTGCTTTCTAGTGCTTACACTAGAAAGTGGTTGGGGTACAGACACATATTCAAAGAGCCAGCTAGACATGCTGGGGCAGCAGGAGAGGGAGTAAAGGCAGTGTACACAACTTGCTTGCGTGTAAAAGTGGGGAGAAGGTTGGAGTGGTTTCTTTGCCAGAGGTGAGACTCATGGAACTCATGGAGTTGGAGAGTACAAGGAGGGTGAAAGGGGTTAGAAAACGCTAGGGATGTTCCTAGAACTGTTGGTAATACCATTATTTGTAAGGAGGAAAGATAGAACGTGCAGACAGAGCCCCTCAAGGCCAAGCTCCACACCAAACTATGCATCCATTTAATCGAAAATTACCTAGTTGCCCAAGTGTCAGATACCGTGTTGGTCAAAGGGGTTACAATGATGAACACAACAGAAAGCCCTTATGTGGAAGTGAGTGAGGCCTGTGAAAGAAAGAGATGAGGACTAGTGTCGCTGAAATATGGGGACAAAGGGGTTTAACAGTAAAAGCCAGGGCCGGCTGATAGGCAGCGGCCCGAATCATGCAGGGCCTTGTAGGCCGCAGTCAGCAGCTTGGATTTTATTCTGAGGGTAGTAACATGGCATTTGATTCAGTCTGCAACAGACTTGGGAACTAGGCAGTCTTAATCCAATTTTACTGACGAAGATGAAAGGTTGGGGCGGGGCGGAGGTAAGTAATTTCTTCAAGACCAGCCGCAGGCGAGAGACAGGGTCAGGGTCTACGCAAACCTGTCGGCTTCAGGGCCGTGCGGGACTCGGGCTGCCTTCGTCCCGAGGACTGCTAGCCAAAGCCAGGAGGAAAAGGCCGCCGCGGCCCAGCGCCTGCGAGCGCCAGTGAGACACTGCTCATGCGCCGCTGCCGGACGGAAGCCGAGAGGGGGGGCGGGGGCGGGGCCGAGGCCGGCGGGCGCGGGGAAAATGGCGGCGGCGGCGGTTGCGGCGAACGGGACAGGGGGAAGCAGTGGGATGGAGGTGGATGCAGCAGGTAACGGGCCTCGCGGGGGCAGCTTCCACAGGCAGCCTTCGGGGTGTATCAAGGCCGCCTTTCTGAATACTGGGCGAAGTCAGGAGGGCGGCTGCAACGTCGCTCCCTGGGATAACGTGCGGGAGGGATGCATGGCCCAGGCTCTGCCATCTCCCACTCTCATCTCCTGGGAAGGACATGGGGCCCGGACTCTCACCCACTCTCCTTTTCTCCCACATATAGTAGTCCCCAGCGTGATGGCCTCTGGAGTGACTGGGAGTGTTTCAGTTGCTCTTCATCCCCTTGTCATTCTCAACATCTCAGACCATTGGATTCGCATGCGCTCCCAGGAGGGGAGGCCTATGCAGGGTAAGTGTTCGGCCTAATTCTGCAACCTCCTCTTCTTGGTCACTTCCACCAAACAGCGGTCTTTCCTTTCCTGAAGCCAGTTCCCCCTCGGCCCAATCACCGTTTTCCCAGTACCTGGTTCACACTGACCTCAGACCGTCGTGCTGTAATTAGGGAGGTTTCGGGATTCCTTACCCTCACCTCTTGTATGTCTATCTCTTCCCCCAGTGATTGGGGCTCTGATCGGGAAGCAGGAGGGCCGAAATATCGAGGTGATGAACTCCTTTGAGCTGCTGTCACACACCGTGGAAGAGAAGATTATCATTGACAAGGAATATTATTACACCAAGGAGGAGCAGTGTGAGAGGGGAATAGAAGTGGGCGAGAGGAGTGGGAGAAAAAAAGCAAGAGTGGGGGAAGATGGAGAGGGTTAGAAAGAAACAGGCCATGGGATGAGAATGGTGGAAATGTGAAGAGAGAGTTTAGAGATCTCAGAAAAAGAACACATTTAGGTAATCCACCCAAAGAAAGTAAAAGCTGAGAGAGGCGAGAACGATTAATTATTGTAAATTGAGCTGGGATTTGAGGGAGTTAGGGAGAAGCTGGTGAAAATAAACACCAGGTGCTTCAAATTAAGGAAGGATGGTTTAAATAAATACTTTGTGCTCTGGCCTTCTCCTCTCCAGTTAAACAGGTATTCAAGGAGCTCGAGTTTCTGGGTTGGTATACCACAGGGGGGCCGCCTGACCCCTCCGACATCCACGTCCATAAGCAGGTATACATGCTCACACATGTGCATACTGGGACAGAGAATTGAGGATGAGGGGAAGAATATGGGCTTTGACACTCGTGTCCATCGTCCCCCTCTTCCAGGTGTGTGAGATAATTGAGAGCCCCCTCTTTCTTAAGTTGAACCCTATGACCAAGCACACAGATGTGAGTAACACTGACCCCATGCCCATTTGTTATGCTTCTCTATCATGCTTACCTCTCATCCTCATCCCCTGCTTTTACTGTATGACATCTCTACTGAATTGAATCTTCTTTCTGCCACTTACCAGCTATATGACTTTGAGTTAATCATTTAACCCCTAACCTTCATTTTCCTCATGTGTAAAATGGGGATAATTCCTCCTTCATTGGGTTTATTAGATGAGAAAAGTCTAATGTGATAGGGCCAAGCCCAGTTTCTGGCACATAGTATAGGTTTATGTATTCTTGAAGTTTATAAGAGCTGTTCTCCATCTTTTCTTTACAGCTTCCTGTAAGCGTTTTCGAATCTGTTATCGATATAATCAATGGAGAGGTAATGTCCTACTCTTTAACCCTCAGATCCTGCCACTGGTATTACCTGCTTTTGACTCTCCCTATGTGCCCCATAGGCCACAATGCTGTTTGCTGAGCTGACCTACACTCTGGCCACAGAGGAAGCGGAACGTATTGGTGTGGACCATGTGGCCCGAATGACAGCAACAGGCAGTGGAGAGAACTCCACTGGTAATGGAAGCTGGAAGAGTGTCCTTGGAAGGGGGCGGGGGTGTGGTGGAAGGTATGGCTACAAGCCTTCTCAACCGTGGCCTGTCCCTGTTCCCCTGCAGTGGCTGAACACCTGATAGCACAGCACAGTGCCATCAAGATGCTGCACAGCCGCGTCAAGCTCATCTTGGAGTATGTCAAAGCCTCTGAAGCAGGTAGGATGGGGTCTCCCTGGCACTTGTACCACTTTTCCTCTCCTTACTGGGGAAGTGACAGCATCCTCATTAATGCAGCCTATTTTTGTGCTTTTAGGAGAGGTTCCCTTTAACCATGAGATCCTGCGGGAGGCCTATGCTCTGTGTCACTGTCTCCCAGTACTCAGTACAGACAAGTTCAAGACAGACTTTTATGATGTGAGTATAAAGCCCAGGATGGGGAGGTGGGGCTTATGCTGTCATTTCTGCATGCAGGAGTGGGACTCAGCTGTTCCCTGGGCATGCTATGAGGTACCCAGATCCCTTGGGGAACTTTTCTTTCTGTTCCCTCCCAGCAATGCAATGATGTGGGGCTCATGGCCTACCTTGGCACCATCACCAAAACGTGCAACACCATGAACCAGTTTGTGAACAAGTTCAACGTCCTCTATGATCGACAAGGCATCGGCAGGCGGATGCGGGGTCTCTTCTTCTGAGAGGGTACTTGAAGAGATGATGCATAGGGGTCAGAACTGTCCCAGATGGGAGGGGTGTTACACTCCCCTTAGAGAAGCCTGTCATTAATAAAAGGGGAGCAGCCCCTCAGCACCCCTTCCAGTGGCTCTGTCCTCTGTTAGGCACCACAGGTTTTTCAGCTTAGATCTTAAAGGAGACCCTTGGTTCCAGCCTTGCTCAGAGGCATGAGTCTCATTGTATCAGCTCTTATGGACACCTTTCAGTGATTTGAAACTCATTGCCGCCTGAAGCAACCCCATTGTCTGGTCAGGCGGACTGTGTATATTGAGCTGGAGGCTGTCTGCTTCCACCTAAGCAATCTCTGTTCTGCTCTTCAGTTTTTAAACAGAGAAATGACTACTTTCAACTGTTTTTTACACAAAACCAATGGGAGTTAGAGGGATATTAAGCACAGTTCTATGAGACAACTGAAAGCCTTGATCATAGGGGTACCGAGATATTTCTGTTATTGCTAATGTTTAGGTAGTGGTTGCTACACTAACCCATCAGGCACCTCAGTTCTAGGAACTAGTGTCCAGTTTAGAGGCCAGGTGGTGTAAACATGGGGATAATCCTACGCAATTTCTTGTACTGGGCGTTATGTTTCCGTGCCTCTCTCCAGGACCTTGATTTTCAAATGGTACCTGGGGACTAGGGACGTAGGAGTAAGGAGATGTCTGCATGGAGGGTTTTGTACTGGTGGCTATTTTGTACTGGTGACTATCTGCAGAACCTGAGAGGTACACAGTTGTAAACCCAGTATGAGTTTAACTCCAAAGGAAAGTAAAAACAGGCAGAGAATGAGAATGGAGATCCAGTGTAGTCTCTGCATAGTGGAATTCTCATTCCTCACTGCTGTCTGTTTTGGTACTTAACAGGTAAAGTGGATTATTTTATCAGCATGTTTACTGAGTGGATGAAAAAAGATAAGCATAAAGAAAACAAGATATGCATCTAGAAAATGGACAATACCCTGTTTTAATAGAAGGCAGCGATCTACAAACACTTTATTAGCAAAAGGAATAAAACAAGGGCAGATCAGGAAAAAGGGGGCGGTCTTGAAAGATCTTTAAGGGAAGGAGGGGAAGTTTAGCAGAGTTGACCCCAGTGTCTCAAGTTGGTTGAAATTAGACAAAAGTGATCCGTGTCCGGGCAGTATTGACCTGCCAGACGTTTAACTCCTCATACTCATCTAGAGCTGCCTGGAATTGGGCAGGTGTGAAGCCACGAGATATGCAGCGCTGCTCTGCCTCGGAAAACCGGACACTTCGGCTCTCTGAGACCAACTCACGGACAGTGGCGAATATGACATCTGCTGGTCTCTGGGTCCTGAAGGAAATAAGTGTAGGTGTGTAAAGTCAAAGTACAGACGAAAGTACCTGACATGTCAGAGAACAGTGATCAGTATTAGAATTCTAATGCCATTGTCATACATGTGGTTGCAGAAGCCACAAGAATAAGTAGTCTGCTCAAAAAAGTTAGGGTAACTCCTGATTTCTTCTTTCATTAAACCACTCACCTAGTTGTTTGTCCTTTGTCACCCAGAAGTGAGTCCTTTGACATTTCCATTAACCTTATGGCTTCATTCACATCTTCCTTCTCCACTGTGTCTACCATTCGCAGACGTGCCTAAGGGGAAGGTAGGGAGAGATGGGAACGGGAGGAGGGGAGTGGGAGTCAGAGAACCCCTTTGTTCCAGCTTTAAGGTTGGGCAACCCATGTGTTGCCTACTCTCAAAACCCCCCTACCCTCCCCTGCAAACATCCGCAGTGTGGGGCCGGCACTGTCAGACCGAGACAAGTGCAATGCCCAGGGCAGCGTCCAGCAATTGCCCAAGTCTCCGCCTCTCAACACTGGCCAGTCCCGGTGTTCAGCTGTCCTGTGAGGGAGACCAGAACCTTCTGAACTCCACTGGGCTCCCCACCATGACAGATGGAGCTTGGGGAGCTCAGCCTAGAAGGCAATTGGCAGAGAGGTTGTGTCCCTGGGGCTCGGGAAGTGCTAGCTCAGCAGTAGGTCAGGTAATCACACTACCTGCACGAACAGCACTTTGGAGCCCCCAGGACTAAAGTCCAAGATGTGAGGACAGAAATGAAGGTTTCTAGCACAGGATCTAGGACTTAGGGAGTGAAATTCACCACACCCACCCACCTACCCACGCAGTGAAGTTTGAGAAGCAAGAAGGCCTTTCCCTCCATGGATGCTGTGTGTGCCCTGCTGGAGCAGCAAGTACCCACAGTGCGGTAGCACGGAGAGGATCACTATCTGCACTGTCAGCACTTTAGCCCCAGCAGGGCCTGAGTGGGAGGGAGGAGGCAAGAGAGAATATTTAAGCAGGCTGCCCACTAAGCCAAAACAGACCACCCTCCAGCAGAATAGTCACTGGCCACTCACCAGGGCTGTGGACAGTCGTAGGATAGCCAGTAGCGTCCGGGCAGAAGTATAGGTGGCATCCTTACTAGCCCAAGCCTCTCGCCTCATCTCCACATATGCTGCTGTGATATAGTCGGCCAGAGACTCTGGCACTGTGGGTTGCTTCTCTCGGCACACAGCTATGTAACGTCTGTGAGACGTTAGTGGAAAAGCAAAAAAAAAAAAGGGACATGAGGAGAGTATGTTTTTTCTGCCTGTTTCCCATTTGAGAAAATTCTTGGGGGAGGGGGGAAGCAGGAGGACAATTTTAAGTAAAAAAAAGTGATTAATTACTTATGTGGCTTGACTATCACTGATAGAATGGTACTTTTCAAATTATTTCCAACTATGTGGAAGATAAATCTGTCACTAGAAATGGTCAAGTCCCCTCCTCTGAATGTTATGAGATGGCTAAAGAGAGCAGAAATGTATTGTTTCCATTGAGATAATTGTTTAAAGAGGACAAATAACAGAAGAAAAACTGGAGGGATCACTGGGAGCCCTCACACAGACTTCTGGAGAAAATGACAAGTACCCACGGAGCAGGACCTAGCTTTGCCTAAAATCTGAACCTGCCTCACCAGACAGGCTGGTGGTATGAAAGGTTGGTTCTGATGCTTGTTACATGGTCAGCCTGGCGGGTATCTAGACCCAAGACATAGAAAGGGGCAGGGCAGTGGTAAAATATACACACCCTAAGACTGAAAGCTTTTCAAGACACACACATGGGCCAAGATGCTGCCCCCATATGGGGACTGGTAGAGCACACCTGTCCTTACCCAGCTCTCTCCTACCTCATAAGCTTCATGTCCAAAGGTTCAAACTGGGCGGGAGGCTGCCGGCTGTGCTGGTGCACGTAGGTGATATGCTGGGCCAACCTGGGAATAGTGGAGGCAAAGAGGAACACTCTTTTTGGTGCTACGCACCCTGTGCCCCAACTCTATACCTTCTGCCCTCAGCTCCACCATCTCCTCAGCCTGGCAGGGACAAAGTTTTCCAGGAAATCCTCAGTGTTTCAGCCCTGACCCACCATTTCCCTAAGAACTGTGGACCAGTATCCACGAGCAGAGAATCTGAGGGCTTTCCAATTTCTCCTCCCTCCCTCCAGATCATTCCTAAGGGATGTCTCCTTGAGTGTTGAGCTTCATTCACCGTAGGTCATTGTCTCGGTCGGGCCGGTCCTGGATCAGCCAGAGGAGATCAAATCGGGAGAGGAGTGCAGCAGGAAGCTGTATGTTCTGCTCCAGGCTGCGGCGAGGGTTGTAGCGCCCATATGCAGGGTTGGCGGCAGCCAGGATGGAGCAGCGGGCATTAAGTGTAGTTAGAATGCCTGCCTTAGCAATGGAGATGGTCTGCTGCTCCATGACCTCGTGGATGGCTGTGCGGTCGGCCTCAGCCATCTTGTCAAACTCATCAATGCAGCATACACCCTGGTCAGCCAGTACGAGGGCCCCACCCTCTAAGGTCAGTTCTCCAGTCACAGAGTCTCTCAACACAGCTGCTGTAAGCCCCACTCCAGAGGAGCCTCGGCCTGTTGTGTACTGGCCTAAATGGCAGAGTCAGGAAGAGAGAAAATAAGCAGACATATTTAGAAAGAGAAAAGGGAACAAGAAAGAAGAATAAGTCAAAGAATACCAGTAAGGGGTACAGTGAGGTGAGGCTTGCACTGAACTACTATACCTACCACCCAGGCCTTCCTGTGGGGTGCTGGCACTGGCAACATCTCCCTTCTCCAACCCTTCCCCACCTTCCAAATCTTCAAGAAAGAATAAACATGGTGATCCTATCCCTAGTCTTCTACATTTACCTCTCCCAGGGTCCAAAAATTACTCACTGCGGGGGGCCAGACGATCAATGTAAGACAGGAGCTGAGACTTAGCCACACCAGGATCCCCCATCAGGCAGATGTTGATGTTGCCTAGAAGGGAAGGAAGCCCATTTGTGACAGAATATTCTTTCAATGGAAGTTGTTCACAACAAAAAAATATTTTTGAGGTCTGCCCCTGCCCCAATACCCAGCATTATTTCCTCTGATTCCTCCCTGTGCCTATAAATTTAAGATACCAACTCATCTAGTTTGTCACCTAAAGAGACTAATTCTTGTCATCCCTCTCCCCAAAGGCCTGCCTTTATCCTGAGCCTCTCCTTCCTCTTACCCCTGATTTTCATGCCTCGAGGAGACTGGTCCACACCTCCCACCAACAGGAGCAGCAGTGCCTTCTTTACATCTTCATGCCCATATATCTCTGGGGCGATGGAGGCTGCCAGCTTTTCATAGAAATCCTCCTCTACAGAAAAAGTAAAAATTAGGGAAAAAAGTGCTAGGAAGAAATTCACATTCCTGATCTCCCCCTGGTCCCTTCACCTGCAATATGCCTCAGCTCCTCTCTGCTCAGCTCTCCAGCCCCAGATTCATCATCTTCACTCTTATTCATCTTCACAATCCGATGAGCTTCCAGGTAAGTTTCCGAGAGTAAACCCTTGAACAGGAAAAGACCAAAATGTGAACAAAGTGCCTTTAACTTGCTCATCCATGTAATTCCCTCAGGAGTTTCCAGCAACACCCTTTGTTCTATTTTGCTTTGCTGCTGATAAGTTTTGTGGGCACAGTGAGAGTGGGCCAACAAGGAGGGAAAGGAAACATTCCTTCCTCATTTCGAACTCCCTTTCTTACCTGTACCACCTGTCGGAACCCAGAGCGCAAGATTGGCAAGAAGATACCAGTGACACTGACATGGTCCCCAGGCTGGGCAATCCGGGTGTTCTCTCCTTCTACCAACACTGTGATGCTACGAGGGATATTTCCCACTGGTACTTGGTCACTCTATAGGGGATAAGAATGCACAGACAAGGAGAAAAGAACATGAGATCCCCTCCCTCCACCCCAAGGAACTAGGTATCCCACTCTTCTACTTCTCAACCTGCTCAGTCTCAGACAAGCCAACAGGAGAAGGGAAGTGGAGATCTCCTTTACCTCTTCCTAGCTCAATCAGAAAGTTCCAGTCAAATCTCCCTCCTGTTCTAAGTGACTTCTCTGCTTCAGTTCTTTCATTTTTTTCCTAATCCATGAGTGACTACAGTATTCAAATAGATTGCCCAAGCTCCAGCTTCCCTGGGCAACATACCCCGAACTTACATGTTCTTGCATCTTCATCTCCTGAAACTTGATGAATTTAGAGCCACGAGTCTGCAGATATAGTCGCCCTCCTGAGCGGTTGGTTTGGCACTCCTGGCTTGGGCACATGATCAGAGGCATGAAAGTGGGAGACTGGATCTAGAATGTGAGAAAGCACCAAAGAAAATCAGAAGGAAATGAGCCCCTTAGAGTCAGTCATTTGAATCACATTTCCTCTCCATTAAGATAGACACCATGGAACTGTCAAGAACATCTTGAGCTATTCTGGGTCAACACTGGTAAGCACCAGTAACACAGATGGATAGAAAGACTACTACGTACCAGAAAAAGGATGAAAAATGAACACATAGATGTATTTTACAACAGACAGAAAACGGCAGATAAACATCAGCAGGGAAAAACCTTACATAAACCACTAAGAGAAGGAAATGTGTTCCTGTTCCTTGCTCCATACATACCGGCTGGTAGGTCTCTGCCCCACACTGGTCACAAGTGTAAGTGGCCACCACCATTCTGGGTTTGACTTCAGAGACACGAGTGACGATTCCACGCACAGTTACCAACTTCCCCACAGAATCAGCCCGTACTTCCCGGATCACACGAGGCTTGTTACTACTTGGGCCTTGAAAGTACAGCTCACTAAGGGAGAAAACAGTCATTAGTAAGGTCCTGGAGAACAAATTCCCATACCTTTCTCCACTGAGACCACTCACAATCTACGCATGAGTTCAGGAGGATACTGGTTCTGGGGGCTTCGGGCTGCACCAGGGTCCCGGCTCCGCTGCTCCATCATCAGCCGGTGCTCAATGTAAACATCCAGAACATCTTTATTTACCACCTAACAGGCAGAGGGAGAAAGATGGAAAAAATGAGTAGCAGGATGGAGCTTAAAGGACATCAGGCAGAAATCATTGCCCTGCTTCCTGCCAGCTCAGAAAACATCGGCATCTGAAAAGCTTCCTGACAGAAATCTAAGTTTCTTGTCCTGCATTTTCCTGCAAACACTCACCTCTCTCTCCTTGTACTGAGGCAACAGCTCTTGTACAGTATCAGCAAAGAGCTTTGCATAGCGCTTGGTGTTCTCACAAATTGAGTCCACCAACTCAGGGTCCTCCTCGGCCACATCATCTAGGTCTATGTACACTGCCACTTGCTCCCGATGAGCCAGTTGAACCTAGGGTAGGGAAGAGTTAGCAACACCTCAGAGCCAAGTTTACTATGCTCACTAGTGTTCACATGTAAGGAACCATTTCTGTGAGCTCAGCATACAGGCTTCCACAGGGGACAAAAAGCAGTGTGAGAGAGAGCATATTCACTTCTCAGCTCCCAAAAGAAGGCCTCTCAACTCTTAAAAATACCTTAATTATCATAAATGTAAAGTTATATTCACGTAGCAAATACAACGCTAAACATATCACAGATAAATGTACTTGCTGAAATAAGCAAATCCACCTCTTACAGTTCCTTAAGTAACCATCCTATTCCCTCTATCTAATCTTAGACTTACCAATTGGTTCCCATACTTGAACTGCTTCTTGCCAAACTCATCATCCTGATAATACTCTTGTAGAAACTTCTTCACCTTTTCTATAAAATAAATGTAAAACCATGAGAATCAACTTTCTTTTCTTTCAGACACTTTCCTGCAAATTCCTCTGATAAAAAGCTAAGAAAGGCACTTTCATTTAAAACACTTACATTAACTACTTGTGACTATTTAAATAACCCCGCATAATACTATCCAGAATGGGCGAAACTCCTCTTCACAAATCTGTTTTTACCTAGAGAAGAATTAGGAGCTCCTACCAGTTCAGTGTTCCCCACGACCTCCACCCCCAGGGGAATTCCAGACTCTGCTTTAGGTAGAAATCTCAATTCCCTTTCCCAAAGGCCTCCCCCACTCCCAGCATCACACTCAGGTCTCAAAGTTCTCAGCTTTTCTTCCAGGCGTATGATTCCCCTTTTCTTTCGGTCCCCTAAATCTTTGCCACCAGGCCCATCCTTTACCCCACCCCCTCTCCCGCCACTGCTTCCGCTTTTAGTAAACAAAGAAGCACATGGGCCCAGATGCGGCCGCCTCACTGCCCAGGATTCCTCCGCCTAGGGCTGGAGCCCGTCCGGCGATTGGCCGGCTCATCTAGAGCCACTTCGTCCCACCCCGCTACCTCGTCTCTCTGCCTCCCACTAAAACCTGCAATTCCCAGGTACACCCCCACCCTCAGTAGCTCTCTCCAAGGCCACCGCGCGGAAGGACACTGTTTACACACGACACTCCCTCCGAAGGCATCGCGCAACTTCCGTCCGCCTTCACTTCCGCTTGAAGGTTGGCCTAAAATGGCCAATCCTCGCGCGCAGCGGCGCGGGCTCCCCGCCCCCAGGGCTTCGGCGCGTCGCAGGACGCGGGCACCCGGAGCTTAAGAGCGCGGAAGGCGGGTCAGGGGGTACCTGACCCTGAACCTTATACAGGGTTTCCTGCTGGGCGTGACCCTCCCCACTAGAGGCCCCCACTTGGCTACCCGTCCCCCCCACCACCACGACACCCACTCCTTTCCCGGACTCGATTACTAGCTCTTCTCAGACCGTGGTGTTCTGCGCACCTCCCAGGCAGTCCGCCTCAGCCCCGCCGCCTCCAGACCTGGGCTCTGGCCTGCGTGCCGGCCACCCCGGGACCCCAGCTCATACCAACAGGTTTTTGCCGGGAAGCTTCCCGCGCAGGACCTCTCCCAGTCTTGCAGACCCTCACCTTTCTCGAGCGCGTAGTCCCTAAGTGCCATTGCTGCCGAGATTCGCGCCGCAGCAGTTGGCGGGCTCAAAGCGCTCACTCGGTAGCAGCGAACGCCCGCGAGGCGGACTGCGGCTGACCAACCGAAATTGGCGCGAAACGTCGCCCAACACGTGACTTACGCCGCTGCGTGCGGGCCAATCAGAGAGGATGTCCTTCGCCCTCCCATTCCCCGCGGGTTTCCGGTCTTAGCCAATCACCGGGCGAGCCTGGGCTGAATGACGGGATAGCAGCGCTTGTGTAGGGAGGAACAGGTTTGGCGAGGCGGGGCGAGCGCCGGGTTTCCCGCGTCCGAGGAAAATCGTTCTTAAAGGGCCAGCCCAGGCGCGTCCTTTTGTTCCAGGCCCGCTGGGAGGGGCACGCCCAATTTTTGCTGTCTCCTTGTCTACCCTCCAGAACGGCCATGATTTCCCAGTTCTTCATTCTGTCCTCCAAGGGAGACCCACTCATCTACAAGGACTGTATCCTTGACCCGCGGGTCCATGGGGTGGGGAGAGGCTGGGTGGAAGTTGTGTCCCAGAGCCAGCCTGTGTTGCCGACTCCTTAGCTGCCCTTCAACCCGATAGTCCGTGGGGACAGTGGCGGCCGGGATGTGGCTGAGCTCTTCTACCGGAAGCTGACAGGACTGCCCGGAGAGGAGTCCCCAGTTGTTATGGTAACCACACGGGGGGTGGGAGTAGTATTCAGGACCATCTCGGGTAGGGGAGCGCCTCCTCCCTCCTCGGGCTGCTTCCTTGAGAGCTTTCCCTTGGGCGGGGCCGGGGGAGGGTGTACATTCCTGCAAATATTAACGAAAGTTTGTTGATTGCTAACAATGTAGCACGCACAGCTCCTCGCATGTCTCAATCCTCAGCACCTCTGGGGTAGCAACTATTATTAATTCCACTTAACACTTTGGGAAGCCGGGCCCGAGGGAGGTTTCTGGTTCGTCGTAAGTCCCACTGCGAGGAAGCAGGGGAATCAAGATACCAGGCCAAGTCTCATGGGCCCTTCAGCACAACTGTCTTCCTGATGCTTTTTCCCTCGCCCTTTGTCTCAGCACCACGATGATCGTCATTTTATTCACATCAGACACAGTGGCCTCTATTTGGTGGCTACAACTTCAGAAAACATTTCTCCTTTCACCCTCCTAGAGCTGCTCAGTCGGTAAGGAGGGCAGGGCTGGGCAGCTGGGCTTGGGGGTTCAGAGAGGAGGAGGAGATGCACAGTCCATTCTTTTTCCTCAGCTTAGCCACTCTCCTGGGCGACTACTGTGGTTCTCTGGGAGAGGCGACCATCTCCCACAATGTGGCTCTTGTCTATGAACTCCTGGATGAAGTGCTGGTAAGGTCCAAAGATTTTCCTCATTGTCTCTGTTCCTTGGTTGGGAAGCTAAGTCCACTCCTTTTTCATCCCTTCCCTCCACTGCCCACCCAAAGACTCCCTTCCTTTGTCCCTAGGACTATGGCTACATACAGACCACATCCACGGAGATGCTGAGGAACTTCATCCAGACTGAGGCCGTGGTCAGCAAGCCCTTCAGCCTCTTTGACCTCAGCAGTGTTGGCTTGGTCAGTGGAGGAAGAGGATTAGGATGGAGAAGGGTGGTAGGGAGTGTCAGACCTGAGGACTGATGGCTTTGGGTGCTTTCCAGTTTGGGGCTGAGACGCAACAGAGCAAAGTGGCCCCCAGCAGTGCAGCCAGCCGCCCAGTCCTGTCCAGCCGCTCTGATCAGGTGAGGGAGAGATCAAGAGGTTCAAACCCTCTGATCTTTTTCTGGGAATCCAGAGTCCAGAGGTGGCATATCTTTCCACCTCCCTTAGACATGGATAATCCAGTCCCTTCCCTTACCTCATGTCCCCACCCCAGGGTCCTAGCTGCCACTGTCCCGTCCACTTTAGAACGTAGGCTGTTCAGTCTCCCACTACCCAAATCCTCTGTCTTTCTCAGAGCCAAAAGAACGAAGTATTTTTGGACGTAGTCGAGAGACTGTCTGTACTGATAGCATCTAATGTAAGTTTGGGCCCCCAGACTTGGAGCTGAGGACAGACGGTATCTGGGAAATGTTGGGAGGTTGCCTTTGGGCATTATTAACCTTATGGCCACTCTCAGGGATCGCTGCTGAAGGTGGATGTGCAGGGAGAGATCCGACTCAAGAGCTTTCTTCCCAGTGGTTGTGGTGAGAAGTTTGCAGGTCGAGCCCACGGTTGGGTTTGGGACAGGCTCCTTGGTGGTGTAAATGGTGGTATTTGGTGGACTTTTCTGATGTCCTTCCTTCTGACAGAGATGCGCATTGGCTTGACAGAAGAATTTTGTGTGGGAAAGTCAGAACTAAGAGGTGAGGAAAAAGTGGGTTTTCTTCTCCTAGATATAGGTCACTGCCATAGGTTTCATGGAAATTAGAGGTAGATCTTCACGCCACTCCACCCTTGCCCTTTTCTCTTAAAATATGGTTTAGGAGAGTCGTCTTTCTGTTTTTCCAGGTTATGGGCCAGGAATTCGGGTGGATGAGGTCTCATTTCACAGCTCAGTGCACCTGGATGAATTCGAGTCTCATCGAATCCTCCGTTTGCAACCACCTCAGGGCGAGGTCAGGATGGGCTGGCCTAGCATATTCCATTTGCCAGGGGGAAGGGAGGCAGTTCAGGTGTGAGGGGACCAAACTGATCTTCCTCCCTGGTCTTAGCTGACTGTGATGCGGTACCAACTCTCAGATGACCT